TGCACATGGTGAAACAACACATGGATGTATGTGCTAAAATGGTACATAGATGCACATGCTGAAATAACACATAGATGTATGTGCTAAAATGGTACATAGATGCACATGCTGAAATAACACATAGAGGTATGTGCTAAAATTGTACCTAGATGTACATGCTGAAATAACACATAGATGTATGTGTTGAAATTTTACATAGATGCACATGCTGAAATAACACATATATGTATGTGCTAAAATGCTACATAGATGCACATGCTGAAATAACACATGGATGGATGTATGTGCTAAAATGCTACATAGATGCACATGCTGAAATAACACATAGATGTATGTGCTAAAATTGTACATAGATGCACATGCTGAAATAACACATAGATGTATGTGCTAAAATGCTACATAGATGCACATGCTGAAATAACACATAGATGTATGTGCTAAAATGCTACATAGATGCACATGCTGAAATAACACAGATGTATGTGCTAAAATGGTACATAGATGCACATGCTGAAATAGCACATAGATGTATGTGCTAAAATTGTACATAGATGCACATGCTGAAATAACACAGATGTATGTGCTAAAATGCTACGTAGATGCACATGCTGAAATAACACATACATGTATGTGCTAAAATGCTACATAGATGCACATGCTGAAATAACACATACATGTATGTGCTAAAATGCTACATAGATGCACATGCTGAAGTAACACAGATGTATGTGCTAAAATGCTACGTAGATGCACATGCTGAAATAACACATACATGTATGTGCTAAAATGCTACATAGATGCACATGCTGAAATAACACATACATGTATATATTCAGAATAACGGAAGGAATCACACAAATAAACTGGCTCCACTTTGTATCATGTCTGTCACCTGAGTGTAATAATTATTTGGGAATAATGTTAAAAACTCGCTGGGTTCTTGTTTTCTTTGACCAATTTGATTTAAATGAAATTTATGATAATGCCTTGTATTCTTATATTTTCATTGCAGGCCCATATATGAAAAAGATATCATATCTCCTTACGACTGTCGCCAAGTTGCCAAGGATATTGGTGCTACATACTATGAAACCAGCGTTGTTACAATGTTTGGAATACGTGAACTGTTTGATAATGTAATCCGAGCCGCACTGATATCCCGGCGACACACTCGATTTTGGATTTCTAGTTTACGGAAAGTACAGAGTCCACTACTGCAAGAGCCTTATTTGCCACCCAAACCAGAACCACCAGACTTGACATTGCCCCCATCTTCATTCTGCAGTGATATAGGAAGTTTGTTGGATAATCCCTGTTGTTCAGATGTTGTTTTTTTGGTGAAAGGTATACTCATTCCAGCGCACAGGGTAAGTGGGAACATAAGTAAATGTCAAAAACTGTTTTTCACTGTTTTATTTTTATTTGTTTTGCCAACACTGGTTAATTCTATCAATAACCTGCTTCTAAATGTGTCTTCTCTGATACGGTTCAACACAAGGTAAATGGTCTGTGACTGTGCACCAGTCTGCTTTACATGTACAGCAGCCATCTTTAATTGGTTGCTATGTAATTGGGTGGGACTCACATGCATGACACTCAGTTGTGACAATACAGAATTGTTCATTCATACATCAATATTTTCAATGAAAACTGGGAGATCTGCTTTACCTGTAGATGACTATGTGTGAATATTACCCATCACATTGAACAAAAGTAGCATGAAATTATGTCTTGTTTAATGCTTTTAATTTGTTTCCAGGTGTGTTTAGTTGCTGCATCACCATTGTTCTTTGACTTGTTCATGATGGATTTGTCAGCTAAAATTGGGGATTCCACTTGTAAAGTAGAGGGAGTTCACCCAAATATGCTGGATAGCATCGCTGGCAATAATGGAATTAAGTCTAGGGACTACAAGGAAGAGATGAGCACTGTTGTCATGACAACCCCTGGCACATCGTCTTGGACAACATTCACCGATTCTACTCCAGATCTCACTGCCAAGCTAAACCTCCCACTAGAGGGCGCTGCATCAAATATTCCAGCCAGTGAAGTAGTAAGGACTCCCAGTAGTGAGGATTCCATTGAACTACTGGGTGCTTGTGCTCCTAAAATACTGCCCTCAACGTCACTATTTAATGAACCATCCACGAGCCATTGCAGTGTTCATTCCACTGCCAAATTTCTTGGATATCCAGGTAAAATATTGGACCACCCAGCATTGGCCTCGATTCACTTACAACCAGTTGACAATCCAGTAAACGGGAAGCCTAGTATCCAGACTGTAGTCACAGTACAGCAGCATATCTCACCAGTGGCTTTCCAAGTTTGTCTGGAATATCTTTACACTGGTACTTTCGATCAAGAACGATGGCATAATATCAACCTGTCAGAGTTGATTACAGTGGCTGATGCACTAAAGTTGACATCTTTGGTTACCTTGGTTACCGGTGTGATGAATCATGATGCATATGTCAATGAAATTATTCTAAAAGCACAATACATGTTAGGAAGAACTAGCAGACTGAGAGAACTTATTCTAAGAAAAGGATTGTTTTCAGGTTAGTGTCATACCTTTATTTTTGTTGCTGTGTATGATGTATTTCTAGACAATATTCTTACAAGTACAATTTTACTATGGCGTACACGACGTAATTTAGAATGACGTTTTGTTATGAATGATGAAAGCTGGGCCAGGTGTGATACAGGGAATTATTGCCCTGATGTGAGGGCGCACTTTCTCTAGTATTACAAGACCAAGCAATACAAGGTATATGATAATATCCATTTAGTGGCAGTGGTACCAAGGTGATTGTTATCACTTTGTGTGTTAAGTTCAGGATACACTACATTGTTGCTACTACAAATGCAAACAAAGGAATGTGTTTGAATGTAACATAAATATGACACATATTTTCTAAATAAGAATACTTTTACAGATGAATTTTTGAATTGGGAGGTTTTTAGCTTGTCATCTATTCCTATCACAGAATTGACACTTGAGGGCGCCTAGACTCTTTTTTTTCCCTTCAACACATTAGTGGGTTTTGGCTTCATTTCTTTTTATATTACTATTATTACATAACCTGTTATGCTATGTTGTTATGCATTAAACAAAGTTCATAATTGTCCAAGTTTGCAGCTATCACGAAGGTACACTGTTTTTGACATCTTAGCACTTGGGTACAAACATGTTAAGTCAATAACAATATATTCTAATTTCCTAATACTAACTTTTAAATTTACTTTTTGACTCTAGACATGTTAATTCAGACTGATGATGGTACAGTGGCTTCCCATAGAGCTTTATTGATGGCTAGATGTGATATGATGTATGCTATGCTGGGTGGTAACTTCAAAGAAAGCACATGTTATGAGGTAATTGATTGTTATAATAGTCAAATAATACATGAATACACCAAATTATGTAAGAGGTTATTACATGAATACAACAAAGCATGCAAGATGCAAGTTTTCAAACCTAATAAGTGTTACTGAGCTTATGATAATGCATTATGGGAGTTTGAGCTGAATTCAAGTTTTACGTCCACTGATCACACATGTGACAATGCATTATGGGAGTTTGAGCTGAATTCAAGTCTTACATCCACTGATAACACATGTGACAGTGCATTATGGGAGTTTGAGCTGAATTCAAGTTTTACATCCACTGATCACACATGTGACAATGCATTATGGGAGTTTGAGCTGAATTCAAGTTTTACGTCCACTGATCACACATGTGACAGTGCATTATGGGAGTTTGAGCTGAATTCAAGTTTTACATCCACTGATAACACATGTGACAATGCATTATGGGAGTTTGAGCTGAATTCAAGTCTTACATCCACTGATCACACATGTGACAGTGCATTATGGGAGTTTGAGCTGAATTCAAGTCTTACATCCACTGATAACACATGTGACAATGCATTAAGGGAGAAACATTAAATTTTTGCATCTACAGAGCATATGAGCTTGGTCACCTACATGTATTGTGTGGTGTAAATGTCAATTTGTCAGCACTGATTATTAAAATGATTATATGGTAATCTTAGTGTTTTCATTCCTGTCACTAATTGCAACAACAATCAATTACAGAAGAGAACCTCTCATTGAATCTAATAGACAGATTTTATCTTGATGGAAACTCACTAAATATACAATTATGTAAGTTTAGTTTTCATTGATAAATGATAAATAAAAATAATTAGCTGCCAGTAAGTGTCAATTTTAAAAAAACATATGACCAGATGCAAACATTTTCAATTGTCCCTAATATGCAGCAAACATTCTGGTTATATCCAATCTCATCATTTATTTTCATGCAGGTTTTTATGCCGGGAACTAAGCACTGTTTTCAGGCATTGCAAGAATACCTATATACTGACCAGTGTCCACCGATGAAACCTGCCGAATGTTTATGTCTGATTGAAATGGCCAATTTCTTGTGTTTGCCAAGACTGGTTGCTCTGGGCGAGGAGAATATCATCAGAGAATTCAACCTGGCTTTGGAGAAAGAACGCGACATCCAAGAAGATGTCATCAATATGTTGAATGTTGCACAGGTAAGAGAATGCAGTTGAAATTAAATTAAAAAAAATCATACCACCATCACCACATCACGTAGAAAGGTAACACATCCTATTACATCTCGAGTAGGATGGCCTGAATAATAAGAATTTCTCAAATATTAAGCTTTTATGAATATTGAAAAACGTTTTAACAAAAAAGCAAAAAAATTATATAGTTATTGTTATATATAATAGTTATTGCGCCCTTGCTTTTTGGTGATTTCACCATCAATTTCTCTGATGTTTGGCTTGTGTTGTTTGCATGTCAAGTGTTCTGTTCTTGATTGGCTAGGAGTTGCTTAGGCTACTAAAATGAATCACCAAATTCCCAGAAAACAACAATGTGGGTTTGTCAATACAACTATGATGTAGCCGGTATAAGCAACAGTAATGCATCAGTGAATCTGTTGATGAAGGTGCAATAACTATCACCGACAATGGCAAGGTACTCTATGGTTAGCATATTAGTCTTGGATGTGTTACCAACACTGTGTCAGTGTCAGTGTTTTTGTTATTACGGTATCATCATTGTGTTTCTCTTTTTTTTTGACAGATGCACAATGCCCATCAACTGCATTCGTGGTGTTTGACGTTTTTAGCACGACACTTCAGTGATTTACATCAAGAGTACATGAAGAGCCTCCGTAATGTGGCGTCTGAGGATGCCCGATATCTACAGCGTCATCGCTGGCCACCCACTTGGTACATCAAAGAGAAAGACTATTATGACAAAGAAAAAAGAGAGCAAGACATGAGTAAAAGAACCACTGAGCGGAAGGGAAAGAGAAAATGGTGTCTGTAAGCTCATCTGTGAGGACATCTTAACACTTTGAGCATAAAAATCAATTTTTGTCACCTATTTCACTATTGTTTAAAATTAACAAAACAAATCATAGAAAAGTACATCAAAATGTGCAAAATGATGCACCAGTGTTTTGCCAATAAAAAATTATAATTAATACACTGTCCTGATGCTGAGTACATTGTTTAGTTACAAATTGTTAAATGTAGCCTGGGTGCAATATGATACATGTGAAGTTTGTGTTGTCTATTACCATATGGTACATGTGAAGTTTGTATTGTCTATTACCATATGATACATGTACATGTGAAGTTTGTGTTGTATATTACCATATGGTACATGTACATGTGAACTTTGTGTTGTCTATTGCCATATTTTGTGCAGTTTTAGCATAGAACACACAGTGGTTGGCAGGCCAATCTCAGCTGCATTTTTTCATAGAATGATAGGGCATTGAATCCAGAAATATTGATCATTGACTTGTGCAACAAGTTATAAAACAAGCTACTGGTAGTTAATTTTAACTACAGAATCATATACTATCCAGGGATGGCTTGATGCAAAGGTACATGTGCAGTTTAGTAATATACATTGACTGTATGATGCAAAAAAGTTTTAAAATCAAACAGTATTATCACTATACTTAAAATGTAGCTGAATCAACCACACATTGTCGGTTCATAACCTGTATTCAAATTTATTACTGGTATTTAGTGAACCCATACAACCAGTTCATTGCTGCACTTTTTACTGTGATATTAATGTAGTGATAAACATTTCAAACACTTTTTTTAATCACAGTAGCAGTAATTGTAAGTACACATTGTCATTCTATAACTTTCTATTCATAATTCTGTAAATGATTGATATTAACATAATTATGTTCTTTTCATTTAATTCTTGTTTCCTGTAATCATTTTTACCGTAATATACTTGTATGTTGTCAACAGATATTTAGACATGTTTTGTTTTTGAAGTAAGAATCTGTATTGAAAATATTTCTAGGGTAATGCATATTTTCTGAGAGGCTTCTACAATAACCACCTACATGTAGTTATGGTGATCACTTTTAGCTTATCACTTCAAATTTACCAGGTATTCAAACATCACATACTTAGAACAGTGGCTTTATCAGAACCACAGAAAGCATTTGACATTCAAGTGTAAAGCATGCAATTGACACTGCTTACATTTCCAGTTAATTAGTCAAATTTATGGTGAATAGTTGACCATGATTGCATAATCGTAGAAGGCTCTGAAAGTTGTTTCCTGTGTTATGTAGAAAATATTGTTTTTCTATTGATGTACCAGTAATTGTGAGTTCTCATTCTTCTCAAAGTTATTTTTTTAAAACAACACTATTAAAATAAGAAACAGTAAAATTTTAAATGTACTTAAAATTTCAAGTAAATACATTTCTGTAGATCAGATTTCTGTTTGCTTTCAATCTAAAAGTTTATATATCTCTTTGTAAAACATTTATGAAATTTTACCAGAAAATAATATCTTCACCATTGAACAGCTTTGACAGCATTCAAATTTGTAAACAAGCAACAATTTGATTGGTCAGTGAATAAGCAAAGTCTTCCATGATTGGCTTATCAGGTATAGGTGTTTAAGATTGGTAGCCAATTAGAAACAGTCTTCTAGATAACTTTCAATTTACTACTAATTAGATCCAGTTTCTCACAAGAAGCATGGTGGTTTCCCATGATTCAAAGGGCACATGAGACAAACAGTAAAATATACCTTTCCTATAAAATATACCTTTCCTCTTGTGACGAAGCACTTGTGATGTTGTGTACAAGAAAATTTGTGTTAAACGTTATATTATATATCAGCAGAATACTGTATAGTCATGCATTGTATTCATGCAATATTCAAATTGTGTTTTTTTTTACTCATCTGCAATTTTTAACAAATCCTGTTTCCTCTTTGTTTAAGAAACAAATTGTATCAACTTGCTGTCATTGTAATATTTCTCAGTGATAATCAATGTGCCTTCAAACTGTACTTTATGTCATGTTCTGATATTTTTTGGTTTGAAACCATGGCAATTTATTAAAAACACATAACACTATATTCAATAACTAATTAATATTCACAGCAATCAGTTTTGTGAACTCAAGACAAAATCTGGTGAAAGTCACTATGGATCTTTGTCTTAAAAATCCCAAAGAAATATTCACTGCTTCATAATTTAATTTTTCTTTGACTATCTGTCTATTGTGATATAAAATTAACTTACAAGATCTTCCCTCAAAGACAACCTGTGATATTTCACAACCTTCTCTTGGAGGAATCTATTTGCTGTTAAATTGTCAATTAAAATTGATTAAAAGAAGAACTTGTTTGTGCATTTCATTGTAATGGTTCAAAATCATTGAATGTGGTGGGGTTGCAGAAGTTACTTACTTCAACTGTACATGCTAGTAAATATTACAGATAAAGTTGTAATTTGTTTGCAGAAAGATTAGCCAATCCAGTAGTGTGTTTATTTGAGAAGTACATACTGGAAACAATATCAATGATATATTTATTAATATATTTTGCATTATCTGATCTATATGCAATATATTCCCTTTTCTATATTCTGTGATAATTATGAAAGAAATGTATTTGTAGGTGAGTATGTATGTATGTCAAATGAATCTGTATTTTATTCTTGTATAATTTGTGATTGTAATGTTCATCTGGTTCTGTGATTGTAATTGCGTCCAGTAGACTGTCTGGTCCTGTGATTGCAATTGCGTCCAGTAGGCAGTCTGGTCTTGTGATTGCAGTTGTGTCCAGTAGGCTGTCTGGTCCTGTGATTACAATTGTGTCCAGTTGGCTGTCTGGTCCCATGATTGCAATTGTGTCCAGTAAGCTGTCTTGTCCTGTGATTGCAATTGTGTCCAGTAGGCTGTCTGGTCATGTGATTGCAATTGTGTCCAGTAGGCTGTCTGGTCACATGATTTCAATTGTGTCCAGTAGGCTGTCTGGTCCTGTGATTGCAATTATGTCCAGTAGACTGTCTGGTCTTGTGATTGCAATTGTGTCCAGTAGAATGTCTGGTCCTGTGATTGCAATTGCGTCCAGTAGGCAGTCTGGTCTTGTGATTGCAATTGTGTCCAGTAGGCTGTCTGGTCCTGTGATTACAATTGTGTCCAGTTGGCTGTCTGGTCCCATGATTGCAATTGTGTCCAGTAAGCTGTCTTGTCCTGTGATTGCAATTGTGTCAAGTAGGCTGTCTGGTCATGTGATTGCAATTGTGTCCAGTAGGCTGTCTGGTCACATGATTTCAATTGTGTCCAGTAGGCTGTCTGGTCCTGTGATTGCAATTATGTCCAGTAGATTGTCTGGTCTTATGATTGCAATTGTGTCCATTAGAATGTCTGGTCCTGTGATTGCAATTGTGTCCAGTAGACTTTTTGGTCCTGTGATTGCAATTGTGTCCAGTAGACTTTCTGGTCCTGTGATTGCAAATGTGTCCAGTAGGCTGTTTGGTCTTGTGATTGCATTTGTGTACAGTAGGCTGTCTGGTCCTATGATTGCAATTGTGTCCAGTAGACTGTCTGGTCTTATGATTGCAATTGTGTCCAGTAGACTGTCTGGTCATGTGATTGTAATTGTGTCCAGTTGACTGTCTGGTTTTGTGATTGCCATTGTGTCCAGTAGGTTGTCTGGTCTTGTGATTGCAATTGTGTCCAGTAGGCTGTCTGGTTCTATGATTGCAATTTTGTCCAGTATGCTGTCTGGTCCTGTGATTGCAATTGTGTCCAGTAGGCTGTTTGGTCCTGTGATTGCAATTGTGTCCAGTAGACTGTCTGGTCATGTGATTGCAATTGTGTCCAGTAAGCTGTCTTGTTCTGTGATTGCAAATGTGTCCAGTAGACTTT